CGTTAAAGATCCCTTGGTGGTCTAAAATCGATAAGAGTAGGCTTCGGCCGCCACCCGGGCAAAATTCAAAATTTCCTATCAACGAAAAAGTATTAGGTGTGTCCCGCGCGCTCATATGACCTCATGCTGTTGCGAGCGCCGTAAAACCCTATACTAAACAAACAACATCTCTTGTTTCTATCTTCTCCTTTATTTATCCCACTTATGTTTCTCTCTATCTTTCCGGTGTTGACATGCCCATCTTGACTCTCTCTCTCTCTCTCTCTCTCTCTCTCTCTCTCTCTCTCTCTCTCTCTCTCTCTCTCTCTCTCTCTCTCTCTCTCTCGATGTTACTGATGAAATAATCCTAAAGGATCATGTATTTGTACTGAACACCTGTCCTTCTCTGCTACTGAACACCTGTCCTTCTCTGGTAAGTAACAGAGAGGCCACTGATGTGAATGGCAAGTACAAGTTGTCTTAGCGCTATGTGGGCTAGAGCCGTAGACCAAAGCTGCCTACACTTTAACAGAGAAGCATATATCATTTCATCAATGTTGTTAGTCGGGTGCTGATTTCATTTTATCCCCCCCCCCAAAAATGGAGCCGCTAGGTATCTACATTTGGACGTTAGTAAGTAATAGTAATAGTAATGAGATGAATGGACTTAAAAACCTCAAGCAAGTCTGACTGATTGAACTGAGTATATCATGTACGATTTGTATGACAACGTAGAGACCTGGACTCTATGTCTGGTCCCGCCAAGACACAGGTTTGCATAGCCTTTGACATATGCACACACATTGGAAAGCAGTCTACCCATTTTATAGTTGTTGTTTTTTTTCTTTTTTTTTATAATCAAGCTTAAGTATCTCGGTCTCTCTGCCGGGGTGCTGAACACTTCAACACACGCAGGGGGGGGGGGGGAGGCATTATTGTACCGACTGACTTGCCTAATCTCTAGGACCTCAGATTAAAACCTTCCTGTCTAGCTCTATATAGCTTTCTTTCTTTCAGGGCAAATTCAGGGCGAGAGTCGAGATCTTCGAAGCGCGGGTTGCGGAGATAGGTTCACATCATGACGGGCGGGGTGTCAATTTATTATTAAATAAAAGTTACAACCCGATGTAATAAACGAAGTAAGGTGAATGAACTAGTCTCTGTAGTGTGACAACACAGCGGTGAACCCCTGTTGTCTCTTTGCGCGCCTTCAAATCGGCCAAGCGCCTTTATTTACGTACTTAACAAAAAAAAATTCTGGTCACCTATTCTTCGGTTTTCCACCTGTTTAGCTTGGCCTTTTTCTCTTTCCTCTGTGGTAGTTTTTTTTTTAATTTGTTCATTTGATTCTCAACAGAGAGACAGGGAGAGAAAGAGACACAGAGAGAGAGAGAGAGAGAGGGGGGTAACGAGTCCGGAAAAAACGAGAAGTCTGTTATAA